GGCTTGATTTTATAGGTCCTATTGTGAATATCAAGAAGGGACCCCCTTTTTTTTTTGAGATAAGGTTTCACTGTGCAGTTCAGGCTGGCCTTGAACTCACGTTGTAATCCAGGCTGGCCTCCCACTTCAGCTTCCCAAGTGCTGGGATTATAGGCGTGCACCATCACACCCAGCTAAGAAGGGATATATTTATAAATCAGTAGAAATAATATTTTTCATTGTTTGCTAATATTTTAAAATAAATATAACAGTTTAAAAAATTAATATAAAATTTTTTTGAATTAAGGAAAAATAAATCACCAATAATCTCTTTTAATCCAACACACCTATGTTAATTTTTGCATTTCTATTGTACCTATATTTGTGCTTATATGTATTTATATGTAATTCTAAGAACAAAGATTTATTTTGCTGTAATACTAAAGGAAGGGCCGTGGATATAGCTCAGCAGCACAAGCGCCTGCCTGGCAAGTGAAGGTCCTGAGTTAAATTCCTGGCACCAAAAAACAAAACAAAACAAACAAAAAATACTAAAGAAAAAGTACCATATTCATATTTAATCTTCACAAGCATTTTAATGGCTTTAATAGTTCTTCAAATAGATTACTATAACTCTCAATTGCTTTATAAAGTTAAATTACTTTTTTCATATTATCTGTGCGATTTTTTTCTTCCTTTGGTGTTATTTCTTCAGGCAATAGGCAATAAACTTTACCCTTTCTGTTTATTATCCCATCCTTCCATATTGCCAGAGCCTAGCTAAGAATATGACACCCAGGAAACGTTTGCTGAAGGAAAGCAAAGAATGAATAAATGGAGTTTACAGAAGTAGGTTTTCTAGTTCTGTTTGCTGCAAATGCTTTGTACCATATACATTCAGTACTGCTGATTGTTGGGTTGAACCTAGGACCTTGGTGCCCAGCTTCATTTCCAGCCCTTTTTAATTTTTGAGACAGGGTCTAAGTTTCCCAGACTGGTCTTGAACTTGATCCTCCTGCCTCAGCAAATGCTTTTTAGGCAAAATTAACAGTACTTAATTAGATTCAAAATTCATGTCACTTGAAATAAAACATATTGCATTCTATTTTAAGAACTACATTTTTGTTTGTTTGTTTGTTTCCGGTACCGGGAATTGAACTCACGACCTTGTGCTTGCCAGGCGGGTGCTGTGCCACTGAGCTAAACCCCCAGCCCCTGCATTCTACTTGAAATTTATCATGTTTAGTTAAAAGGATTTGTTATTCATTTGTAAATTTTTGAGTTAGTTGCAGAGTTGCCCTGTGGAAAATTTTTTACAATTTTTACTAGTAGATCTATCTACTAGTAAATCTATCTACTAGGACATTTATCAGCTTTGGGTTGTTTTTTTTTTTTTTTTTTTTTTTTTTTTTTTTGAGACAGGGTTTTGCTATGCAGTTTAGGCTGGCCTTGAACTTACTTTGTAGCCCGGGCTGGCCTTGAACTCACAGTGATCCTCCTGCCTCAGCCTCCCAAGTACTAGGATTACACATGTGTGCCACCATGCCTGGTTGAAATTTATCAGCTTTAACTGAACAAACCAAAAAAAAGGGCTTCAAGGCTTTTGTTCAAGAACTGCATGAATATCATTTATTCTTAGTGTTTATTCTCTTATTTGTACACTTAACACTTTTGGCTATTTCTTACTTTTCTACAACATGGTCAGTTTTGTGTCTACTTCTTTGACAGCAAATTTACCAACTTATTTTTGCTATTTTCTCCTTTGTCCTTGCCTATGGTCATTCTCTAAAGATTTTTTTTGTCTTCTGATCATCTCTCTTTGCAATCACTACCTATAATCACTCACCTACAATCCTGGCTTCACCTTTTCTGTGAGATATGCTAAGATCTATATTAATTCTGATCACTCTGTCTGTTCTTTTTCAATCATATCCTCTTTTGTTTCTTTTAAGACTTCTTTTGCTGTATTTAAATCTACCTCTCTCCTCAGGCTACTTTCCCTTACAGAGTTTTTTAGACTTTGCAATCCTTCTCAACTTTGCTTCCTCCTCAGGCTGTTTCCTCTTTGCTTCCTTTCCCTTTATTACCAAACTTTTAAAGAGTATTCTCTCTTTAAAAAAAAAGAAAGTACTCTCTGCTGCCTGGTTCCCATTCTTCTAGTTCTTCAATTCTTTCCATGTTGATTTCCACTTGACCTTTTAATTCAATGACACTATTTTTGATCCTCTTCTGTGGTATCTCACCCTCTTTTTTTAGAGTTTTTTTGAGACAGGGTCGCACTCTAAATCAGACTGGCCTTGAAGTCACTATGAACCTCCGGTTGGCCTTAAATGAAGTGATACTCCTACCTCCACCTCCCACGAGGACCAGCAAGGGCCTCTCAGCCCTTTGCAAGGCTCTCCCCATTAGTTCTTCTCACTGTGTTTCTTGGATTCTTTCAAATCTTTCCTGACATATTTTCTTCTTTGAGTGGGCTTTTCAAATTTTTTTTATCTTTGCAACAAGGTCTCACTATGTTACCAAGGCTGGCCTCAAATTTATAACCCTCTTTCTCAGCCTCCCAAATAGCTGGGATTACAGATGAGGATCACCATGACTGGTGTCTCTGTTCTCTACTATCCTTAAAAGTCGTCATATACCTTCAAAGTCAGTAATAGTTCTTGAGTGCTTGTCAAGTGCTTGCTACTGATGGCCTTGGGGACACAAGGATAAAATCTGGGGCTGGCACTGGAACCAAGATCTCTTTTACTACATGTTTCATGCTATTTATATCACCACAAAACCCTGTAGTAATAACCTATTACTGAAATAACAATTTAATATGCATGTTCTACTGATCTATAGTTCCTAAGTCTATAAATCAGAAATATTATATGGAAGAACAAAAATAATTGTTTTTTCAGGAGGGATAAGATTTGGGTTAGTGACAATGGGACAACTCTGGGGACAATTTTTGCTAGATAGATGAGCCAACAACTTCGCTTTTTCTTTTGCAGTGTTAGAGATTGAACCCAAGAACTTGAGCATACCAGGCAAGCAGCACCCTTAGTCCTGAGTTACATCACTAGCTCCTTTTAGGAAAAGGTATTTATTTAAATTGTACTTTTAAAAATTTTGAGATGAGATCTCAGTGTTGCCTAGGCTAGCCTCAAATTGACCAGCCTCTAACCTCACCCTCCAAAGTAACTAGGATTACAGACATGCACAACATCTGGCCAAATTCATATTCCTAAGAAAACTTTATTATTTGTTTATATGTTTTGAGACAGGTTCTCACAGTGCAGTTCAACTTGGTCTCATGATCCACTGACATGATCCTCCTGCCTCAGCCTTCCTGGTGTTGGGGTTATAAGTGTGTGCCACCACTCCAGGTTTAAAATATATTTTTATCAAAGCAGTTTGGTCTCAAAAACAAAACAAAACACACATATGTTGCTGTGGTATGATGTCTTTAACTCTTCTGGGAAAATACCCAGAAGGGGATTAGCTAAATCTTGGAAACAACCCAGATGCCCATCCATCGAGGAATGGATAAAAAAGATGTGGTATTTTTATACAATGGAGTATTACTCAGCTATTAAAAAAGATAATCTCGAGGCTTTTGTAGGTAAATGGATGCAACTAGAGACCATAACATCATATTGTCTCCTTGGTGTAGGAACCTGAAAGACTGGGTAAAACTCAAAATGTACAATAGATGATAGGAAAGAGAAAGAAATTGCTCAAAGGAAGGAACGACTGGGCTGAGGGAAAGAAGAAAAAAGAAAGAAGGAACATAAAATATAAATATATATATGAATAGCTGCGATAGATGTATTGCTGATGTCTGATGGTATATTGAAATGAACAGTTAATGATTACACTTTTTTATGTTCTGATCGACTTTGCATGCTTGTGTCTGGTGGTCTGAGCAACTGATTTGAAGGTAACAATATGCAATGGAATTACAATGGTGAACTTCTACCATCTTGTCTAGAGAAACTGTATTATCTCTGCTGTTTTATTGAAGAATTATTTTCTTATTCCCTATAATGGTTTGAGCAATCTTTCATTCTTACATCTGCTAAGGTGAGCAATGTAGTTGAGGATAGCGATATGCAATGTAACAACTACTGTTGATTCGCATCATTTTGTCTTGAGACTCTGTATCACTTTGAATGTTCTTGCTTTGATTTGTTTATGTTTGTAACACCGGTATGCTGCTACTGTTCTATTTCTTTGTTTCTCATTTACTACTCTCTTTAAAATAAAAACCAAACCAAACCAAAACAAAACAAAACAAAAACCAGTTACTTAAGATGCCATAATGTAATTATTCCGCTCTTCAGAAGCCATCTTTCAATGCACCACGAAAAATGGCTAAATTGTAACCTTGCAGTAGGCACATTGTATGCAAACGCATCCCCGACTTTTAGCTTCTGATTTAGCCATTTCTAGGGACTGGGCAAGTCATTTCTCTGAATGCTTCATTTCCCAAAAAAGAGAAACTGGGTGGAGGGCTACAGAGCTTTGATCACAATAGCGTTATCCACATTATCTTTAAAAGCCTTTTCTCCAAACGTGGCAGACACATGCCCACGAGTACTGCTTTCCCACCTTTCACTCCAGAGTCCAGGGCCCTTTTCTCTCGCTTTTAATCTCAATTCGGGGTTCTAAAAGAGTAAAAGAGTACTGGTAATATCCAGCGCTTTGTCCCTAAACTGGACAGAGGTTTTGAAGCCTCCGGTAGCTCCGACGGGCAGAAATACCCACCCTCGTCCTTCCTTGTGAAACGCCCAGCCCTGCGGCAATTGCGCTGGCGACTCCGACACGGCGAGGCGCGCGCTTGTCTCGCCACAGTCCCTGTGGAAGGGACGGGGTCCCCGGGCGCGTGGCGGGACCTCCAGAAACGGAAGCTGCTGGCGCTGAGGACACGCGGGTCCCGCCGCCACGGGCGGGGGAAGGGCCGCAGCCACACCCGGAAGTCGGTGTCGGAGAGAGGCCGGGCCCTAAGGAGCGAGACTTCCGGTGGCGCAAAGGGTGTCGGGAGCAACTTCCAGCAAACCTTCCTCCTCGGCCTCTGGGGTGACTACCGCCGCCGCCGCTTCGGGTTCCAAGACCTGTGTTCCGGCTACACTGCCACGGCGGCCGCCGCAGAACCTCCCCTTGCGCTTGGCTCTATTCATACTCGTTTCCAGGTGGCTGCCGCAGTCCAAGCGGCGGTAGCGGCCGACATGTTCTGAGGCGCGGCGCGGGTGTCCGAAGGATGGTTTGGCCGAGGCAGCGGCAGCGGCTGCTGGCGGGGGCGGCAGCTGGGGCTCGAGCTGTGTAGAGCCGAGCCTGCGGGTGTCCGCCCAGCGCCGAGGCGAGGCTGGTACCGCCGGGTCTCGCCCGGCGTCGGCGCCGAGGACCGGTTAGGCGACAGCTCCCGCCCCTTTGAGAAGACGCGAAGGTGGTTCCCAGCCGCTGCGATTTCCGGACCACCTTGCCGTCCCCTCTGCCACCGAGGCAGCGGTGCCCCGAGCCCTCAGCCTCCCTCCCGCGACTTTGCTCCAGACTCGCGCTGAATCTGTCAGCGGCCAGTGTTCCGCCCTCTGGAGCGCGTTTACCCTCCCTTCCTCTTTCTCTCTACCCTCCTCGCGTGCTCTAGGGATCAGCGCAGAGGCGGCCTTCTGAGAAGTCTCTGAAGTAGTGCTCCAGAGCCCGGGGTGTTTTTAAAAGTCGGAGCTCGGAGAGAGGAAGGTACGATGGCCTCCTCATCCGGCAACGATGACGATCTCACTATCCCCAGAGCTGCTATCAATAAGATGATCAAAGAGACTCTTCCCAATGTCCGGGTGGCCAACGATGCCCGAGAGCTGGTGGTGAACTGCTGCACTGAATTCATTCACCTTATATCATCCGAAGCCAATGAGATTTGCAACAAATCAGAAAAGAAGACTATCTCGCCAGAGCACGTCATACAAGGTAAGCCGTTCGCGTGGAATTTGGTTTAACTGAGGGTAGAGAGGGGGGACGCTTGACAAACCTGTCCGTGTGCGAAGCCTTCATGCCTCGTCACTGGTAGGCTTCATGAAAAAGCCTCGCGGGTAGGGAGGCAGCTGGTGTTAAGAAAATACCTTGTAGCCTTCTTTCCTCAGCCCTTTTCATCCAGCGAATAAGGCAAGGGTTGCAAACTGAAAGGTCAACAGATACTTCCAAATGTAAAGCTTTGTTACAGTTTGCAGTTTACAGCTAGCTCTGCAAGCAGCCGGAGTTGCCTGCCTGCAATTGAACTTGGATCACGATGACTGGGAAAGGAACCCAAAAGTTCTCCCTTGCAAAGTTAAAATTTAGACAGAACTTCAGGAATGAGTGAAGTCAGAGCACCCATGTCCCCCGTGACGCTTTCACCAATGTAGAGGAAATGATTTTCTGAACACAAAATACTTAACGTTGTAAAGTTTGTTGGCGTTGGATAGAGGGAGTATATTTTCTCCTTCACGGTTTGATGGTAGAATGTTCATCTAGTTACTGAAGCACTTCTTTTAAGAAAACGTTAAATGTTCTCTCTTTCTTGTGTGTGTGTGTATATATATATATA